TGAGCTATTTACCTCCCCACCCCCCGCTCTACAGTCTGGTGGGGGGGGACTGAGTTGTACTTAGCTGACAATAAGTCTGCATGTGCCAACGCGCGAGGACCTGAGTTCCTGTGACCAAAATGCTCACCCGAACACTTTCGCAGCTCCACAGGACTTGACAGGTTTGACCAAATGAGACCTATAGTTACCGTGAGTGAACAGAAGGAACTGGTGAAAGTGCCAGATGCTCCTCCAAGCCGGACAGCGCCAAATTCGGTCGGGTGGTAGGCAGGCAGTGAAAGGGGACCGTAGCGAAACCCTCCTTTGAGGCCCTAACGACGGCATTTCACCCATCCTAGCTGTAGAGAGAGAGGGACCGTAATGACCAAAAATTTCCTCCCCAGGCGCATCCCCATGGAAAGCCCAGTGCCAACAAATTTGGCGTGGGGCCGAGGCAGCGTGTGTACGAGTGAGTCATTCGGCAACACGGTCATCTGTCAGTGCTTATCGTTCCCACCACCATCACCACCATCGCTGCATGATTTCTCTCATCATTTTGCTTACCTGCCAGCCAGTTGCCTGCCAGTGTCTCGCACCCGTCGTGTCGCCAGAGCCGTCAAAACTTCCACCACATACGCTGAATTCCTTCCTGCTGCCAGCATTTTTCCCAGATAATGGCCAGCATTCGACAGAAGCACGACCTGTAGCGAAAACTCTTCGATGTTGCTTTGCACTTTTATTTTTAGCTATTTTGATCACACGCAGTACAAATACCTGGTTAGCTATATTGATCACACGCAGTACAAATACCTGGTACTTTTACCGGGGCCACAAGTGCCAAACAAGGGATTTATGTGATTTCCACTTATTGATCGACTGGTTTGAACCTAATCCACGTTTTGGCACGATTCTCGGCAATTCCAATATTCAAAACTTTCACTCGAATCGTCCCCCGAAGGTCGTGGGTGGTCGTCACAGCCGCCCCACATGACCTCTCTGCGTCTCTGCCCCCATGCTCTGCTTCTCGGCACTCTCGCTCGGATGCCTCCGTAAACAACGGCGTCCGACGCGGGAGAAGGTGCTCTGGCGACAGCGCCGATCGGCCGGTGACGGTTTTCGTGACACATCGCTGGCCCGTCATGGGCAACTTCAGCCTTCGTACTATACGAAATATACCAGTATAGCCCCAAATATGGCCTCAAAACTGAGTATTCCCTCGTTTCTAGCGCCTTTCCTGCTCCTGAACTCATTCTTTCCTTTTATGCTTTCCGTTTTTTCTCACTCTAACGATAACTTGTTGCCTATTGATAGCCTGAAACTATTCCTGAATTGTACCGCTCAACCCCATAAATACGGCTCAGAATTTACAAGTAGCCTTAGCCCTCTTAGCCATTAAAAACAGACTTCACGGCATTTCTTCAGCATATCTTCAAGAAAATGCCCCATAATTCCCGTGTCAGTCTTACTGCGATATCAGCTGGACATGGTTCTTACTTATTTCTCTCTTTTTCGAAAGAAATTTTTCTTTTTCTCTCTTCTCCAAGGTAAGCAGACCAGGCCTAGCCAAAGGCGGCTGGACGCAAATACACCACTTGCGTTCCCCGCGGCTGCTTTCTCCACGCCTATTTTGCAGTCTGTTGTCTATTTAAACGCGTTTCCTGTCATACGTGCACCAGCTTATTTCCCCGTTCATTTTCACCATTTTAGCGCTTGATGCTTACAGTGCAATCTTTCTCTAAATAAAGCGGTAGACAGCAATGCTTTCTCTAACGTGGAATCGCATAAGCAAGCCCATCTCTTGTTCGGCGCTGAAAGCGGGTTTTTAGTGCGTACCTTGCTGTTCAAGTTCTGAGGTCTTACCAGTCCTGATGTTTACGGCGTTTAAGAGCAACTAGCTCCACACGGATTTTCCGCTTTGCTACTTTATATATTCCCTAGGGATAGGCCATAATTTGGGGAATTAGGAATTAGCGTTCGCACCCTAGGCATTGAAAAATCACGAAACAAATTTCGCACAAAAATTGTTTCACCACTGCGAGACTTCTTCCCTCTAAGGTAAAGTGAAAATCCTTATGAGTTCAAGGAAACCGGCGGTGTTCAGTACTCCCCAGAAGACTGCTCGTGAAATTAAATGTGTCGTCTAAGTGAAGGCACACAAACGGAGCTCTGGAGTGATCAGGAAGTGTGAGCGACGGTGATTCTGCTTTCCACCTAAGCGGCTGCCTGGGCAATCTTATGCGCACTTGCTGCTCCTACGCAGAGAGTTTCATGCGCAGCATGGGGTAATGTATCGCTCCTGCTTTCCTAAACTTACTTAGCGAACGAGGTCATTTCTCCAAGGGTTACTGCATTCTCTAAGCCAGTCTGGTTGTCTGCGCTCTAGGCCTAAGCCCAGTTTAGAGAAGAAGCTTGGGGCACGGTTGAAGGATCCCTCTTTTACGTTGGTGACCGCGCTTCACTGAAATAGCGTTTAATTTCATACTCTGTCATATTTCTTTCAAAACATGACATCTTGTGCACATTTGCATTGCACGTGTCGTCCACATTAGCATGTGTTCAATGTGTTGCCCAGATTTTCGCAGAATTATTCTGTATGTACTTCATGAAAAGGGATTTAGAGTAGTGATGTCTGCTGTGGAAGAGCCCGAAATGAAAGCAGGACATCTTCCTGCGGAACGTGTTGGTGGACGTAGGGTTGTTAAGAAGGTATGTTGAACATCTGTTATCATTCATACTTTGGAAGTGAAACATTCGTTTCAATTAAGGATCACCGTCAGCAGGAAACGGAGCGAACTTCTTCAGAAAGTGCTGACGAGACAAGTCGTGAGCTGGTCGAAAGGGATAGCAGTCTACCGGCACAGGTAAGGCTTTCAGCGTGCAACACAGGAGATCCAAGCTGTGGCATTACACGCAAGCCGGTTAGTATTCTTTGCTGGTTCACTCGTCCCACCACTTTGGCGTCAAATCAGTTAGGTCATGGCAGATTGCATCTAATACCGTTTACTTCATGGCGCTATCTCACAAAACTCCATAACCAAGAAGTTATTCCCCACCTTTCAGGTCATGCTCATTAGTCAAAAGTTTTCAAAACAGTTACCTCGCTCAACCAAATCGTAAAATTCCTTCCTTGCCGGAGTGATCCTGTTCATGATCGGAAAGGTTGTACCTTTTTTCCGGCTCCACATCGAGTGACAATGGCGATGCAGCCACTAAGTTGCAGTTATATACGGTACACGATTGCTGTATGTAGCTGCAACTTACGATGGCCACAGAGTCCTCGTCATCCACAGTGGAGCCACGAAAGTGGGGCAGCCTCGGCGATTACGCATAGGATTACTTGTGCAAGGCCTACTAACCGGTTCAGCGCGTCGTCTGTGGTTTTAAACCGTGGACCAGTGAGCGTGATCTAACAGCAATCCTCATACTTTGAAACGGAAGGAACAATCTGTCGGTTGTCGCGTTTTCTGAGATAGCGCCGTGAAATAAACGGCAGGGGGCGTAATTTGCCATAACCTAAGTGATTTGACGCCAAAGTGCTGAGTCGAGTCAACTAGCTAAGAATACTAGCTGATTTGCACGTGATGCCACGACTCGGATCTCCTGTGTTATGCCCACGTTCTGCTGTGTCTTCTTTAATTTTCGTTTTCTCCCAATGAAACTCGAACTTTACTTTCCATTCTCGTTTTCCATTCAAAATTCGTCACTTATTGGATCCACTTGTTCCTTCCGAAAAGTAATATAATAAATAGTTTATAGTAGTTTATTTAGATGGAGAGGTCATATCCGACGAGTGCAGTGAAACAATCTCATGAAAAACCAATACCGACTCATCAGGCTCACTACGCTTCTCCTCCGTCTCATACCAACAGTGGTCAGCTCTTTCAACCAAGAAAAAATTAGAGTGGATGTAGATGCTATGTCCGTCAACACCGTGCTTCCATTGTAATTTGTTTATGATTCTATCCTCCATGTATGCACGGAATAATGGGAATTTTTTGGTATTTTTTTGAGGGGAGCAATGGTCATATTATGTACAATCTGTCCTACTATTTTTCACACCCTTTTAGCTAGTTTCGATCCGGTGCACATTCCACGTACATCCGTCTTATTTTTTATGTCTTTGTAGATTCTGGATTTTCTATGGATAAATTTCGTTAGATATACTGTTTATTTAACTATGGAATGTGCAAAACGCCCTGAGCAAGATTTGCTCTTGACGTCTGAGGCGTTTCAGGAGACTTACATCAGTTTGGCGCAGGGCCGATCTAATTTACCAGTTCTGATCAGTTACCAGCTTCCACATTTGGTAGGGAACGGGTTGGTGCTACGTCAAACCCATCCCCCACGCTTCAGCATTCGCAGCGAACAATACTGTATTTCTTCAATGATTACTTCAGTATCTTAGCGACTACTCCAGGAAAACTTGCATGTTTTGGAGCCCGGGAACGAAATAAGTGGATGGAGATCCCGCCCCGACTGCCCTCGTGCGCTCGCGCCCTTTTCCCCCTTTATCGCTCCCAAAAATGAGCGCCTGCCATTAGGATGAAGCGCCACCAGTTTTCCATCAATAGCTGTCGTCTACCCATTTCAAGAAATAGTGGAGGACGGGCTGGCGTTAAACAGACCGGCGCCGGCCCGTTCTCCACCAACTGGAAACGTGGAAGCTGGCAGACAACCGTAACTGCTGGAAAATCGGCGCGACAACCTCCTGACATGCCGCAGCGTCCGCAAGTGAACAAGACCAGGTACCTATAGAACTTGACGTCGTCACTTTGATGTCATGAGCAGGAGAAAGTCCTAATTGCCTCGCCTTGTCGTGGCAGCATTGTCATCAAGTTCTAGCATGAGGACTAGTCTATCAACAAGTGACGAATTACGATGCGATGCAACCGGCGGGTTCCTGAAAAATTCCAATCAATGGTAATCCTTAATAGTTTTTACAGTCAGAGAACAATTCCATGCTAATGCCTCAGACGGCGGGTCGTATAAAGAGGCTTTAGGCATGGTGATCGTATTTGATTAGGAGGAAATCTTCCCGGGTTTTTTTCGTCTTCGGGCAGCATTATCATATCCCTCTTTTTGCTGAGGAGTGCTGCACCAGAAGTATTGTAGTCATCACTTCAGCAAACTAGTGGAGCTTGAGGGAGAGCGGCAATTGGTGCGAGAGTCACCACAGCCTTTTCCACCAATGACGTCATCTTGGAGCCTCCAATGGTGAGAGGCAGCTTCCATGTTACACGCCCCAAGCCACGCCCTCACTCACCTTCTGGTTTCGTTTGATATTAAACGTATTTCATGGAGGGGGAGACGGTAAAGAGGATCGTAATTCGCCGCACCGCCACGCGCGGCGATGGGCGCGGCGTTTTCATAACTCGTTTTAACCTGTCAAAGGGAGCACCGGGGACTTCATGTGGACCCCGTCTCGTAGACACTCATTACTGTTTTCGGTCCTTAAATGCATGTTATCGCCATCTACTGCCTGAAACCATCGTCCTTTGCGGGCGAGACGTCGCACGCGACGCACAGCATGCGACGCAATTCCGATCCTCTTGTCCGTACCTGATTTATGGGCTAATAGCTTAGTTTGATAGAGAATGTTCCACCCGCGTTGACAGCAACGGTATTTGGGCCGAGAATGTCGTATATAACCAGACAGTACGCCTATGGACCGTGGTGCTGTACCGAAACCGTTCGTTTCAAGGGATTAATATACACTTGCCGTTCCACCCATCCCCATGATATATCCCGTTTACACTCAAAAAAACTTTCTAAACATACCTTGTGCATACACATGTTGGCGATCAGGCGAGCCATTGACGCCTTGCAGTCTTGGCTGACGGAACTACTTTCAAATACACGCACTAAATCAGGCAGTATCTCATATAAAATCAAACAGACAATGGGAAAAACGCTTGGGAGGCTTTCATGACGTTCCTCAAAGTTCTTTCGGTGGTTCACATTATTTTATAATATTTTATAAACCGTAATCACAACGAGTAAAAGTGACCATGTGCTTTCTTACTTACAGGTTTCCTCCAACATCCCTGCAGAGAAACCGATTTTCTTAGAACTTTTCACATTCATAACATTTCCCATAGGACTGTCGCCCTCTTTCATATCCACACTCCATACCCTGGCCTTGGAGAAGGCTTGGCTGCGTACTTAAGTTGAAGGTGAGGGCAGCTGCACTTTCGATGGGACGTTGCCGATTTCAGACAAATATTAGCATGCCCTTGTATGGCACAAGACAGGATGACAGTTGGCGCAACCGCAAATATTCCACGAAACGCATCCTGCACCATGTTTAGATGAGGTACGCAGCCACGCCCACCCATCTCCCGGATATAGAGTGCGTAACGGTCAGAAAAGCTACACTAACTTGCAAGGTGGGTAATCTTTGAGCCAGCCATCTTCATACAAGCCGCAACTGAATAGTTACAACAGTTTGCAATTACACTGGTCGTTTCCTTCAGAATTGATGACCAGGGTGGTCTGAAATAAAAACAAAATAAAATAAAAATAGAATGAAATGAAGTGAAAATGAAAAAACGTCATCAGTTCTGGAAGGTATACATTTGATCACTGTGAAAAAGGGTGCTCACATGTTTGGGGAGAGGGACTTACTCCACAGCGTCCCCCGCCCGCTTCCCTCAGCCAAAGCTTATAATTAGAGCGCAGCCAGTTAGAGTCGCCGTGGATTACTTGCAAAACAGCCAGCCTCTATGCGACCCTGACATCGTCTATATGCCTGTGCCTTGACTGGGGAAAGAGACGCAGAGACACTGCGGGGTGCCCCTCCCCAAACGGGTTTGCGCCGGAAAAGAATGCCACTAACGTTTTGTTGGGTATGTCTGTGGCAGCTTTGTTGAGAAGAGCGAGGAGCACGGGAAACACTTCTGATGACCTGACGTTCATGAATCTCGCAACAGCCATTTTGTTCCTGAGCGTTCCTTTTAACCTCTTCAGGGCCTTCTCGACTATAAATGGATCCGGCGACTTCAGCTCATCGACTGCTACCTCAGATGAAACCGATGAGCTCGGCGTAGTCTCGTTTCCACTGCAAGAGGTTATTGAATCTCGTGAACTCCCATCATCCTGGTCAAGTTTGACCCGCTTCGCATCCATCTGGAACTAATTACTAGTAACTTTATGATGCCGTGGAATATGAGATGCAGATGACCGGTTTGCGGCAAATAAAAGAAGCGAGTTGGGAATAAAAATGAAGAATTGTGAGAGTCGGAAGTCGGAAGCCGAAAATACGCAGATTATTGTAGAACAAGTCAATGAATCTAAAAGTAGAACATCTGTTACTAGTAAATCCTGCCACGAGAAAATTCCATCTAACCTGCGCTTCTCTGGACACTTTGGAAGCAGTAGCAGAATTGCCCTTCCCAAGGTTGACTCATACTAAACTTGAAGACTACATAGAACTTCTGTGCTAGTCGACTCGGCGGGGGCATTTCGCAGTCTAGCTTGTTCCTTTGTCAGTTCATGTCAACAGGCAGGTCTTACCTTGGTCAAACCTGTGAACTCCCGCGACGCTTGGAGTGAGCCACTTCGATCACAGGTATTTACAGCTCTTTACAGTTCGGCCTGTACAACCAGAACCATCTGGTGCCCCTACCAAGGTGAACCGCGCCGGAACTTCAGAGTGTGATGTAAACCCAAGCATAAGACCCCAGCCCTTGCCTTCAGAAAGATGGGTTGCTCACCAGGCTCTGAATTTGTACGAATGGTACCTTCTTCTAAAATATTTACAGGGTGGAGGTAGGCGGAGGGAACGTAGTGGCAAACGGCTCGGCTTACCACGCGCGTAGCATAGCCCGAGGGCAACCTATCAGGTCGACTCCTCGCGAGCCATCAAAGCCCTCCATCCACCCTGTACCAGCTAATATCCTCTGCGTCCATTTGGGAAGTCACAGCTATTCCAAATGGAAATTGAATGCGTGGCGCATCCCAGTTAGCCAATGACAGCTCCCTACTAATTGCGCTGCTATGAAATTTGTAAAGTCTGTTCTTTCATTGCAAGAGACCACTGCAATAGCACGATGAAGAGCGAAGCGGTTAGATTTTTTTGGGCGTTACGCCACGAGCCATGCACTCGACTTCCATTCAACATCGCAGAAATGTTTGTATGATCTCTCGTGTGGTAGCAGTATTCTTGTTCCTGTTGCGGACACTGAGGCGTGGTCATGGGCAGGGTTTTGGCGCGGGCGTCAGCCAGATCTCCAGCCAAGCTTGAGCTTCAAGCGAGCATTAACCTGGTAGAGAACGCCCAACCGCGTAGCCGCCCAGCATATTTATCTTGCAGTCGCAGTATTGGCCAAAAAAGCGATAACAGTAAGCCAATATGCAGTACATAGTGCCTCGTCCCTACGTCATTTTCGAGTCAGACGTTTGAGTAGCCACAATGAATAAAGCCGGATCCTTGTCCACGGCCAAGTCTGGGGCAGGGCACCGTTGGACAATCATGCGCCTTTCCCGAAGGTCAGTATTGAAACAGGTGAAAAGCTCTCCTTACAGGTCTGCATTAGTACAGCAATGTGATTAAAGTGTATGCCATCCTTTTTCCAGGATTCCCAATGCGACAAGTCCTGAATAATTTATGAAATGCCCAGCTGCGACCCATCCTTCTACGACAAGTTCCCTGCCGCAAATAAACTGTGCTAGCGCATCTAAAAGCCTCTCGTTGTGAAGCTATTCTGCGTTCAGGCGCCTCAAGTGGAGTAAAGGACAATACACACGAGTAAAGTATACCTCATCCACCACCAACAAAGGTTCTGTTTGATCTAGCGGCCGAAAGAAGAACATGGGCGTTAAAGGTCAACCTTGGCTCAAGTGACTCCGCCTATCGCAAGTGTCCCCGCCCATCGACCACGTGGCTTGTGATTAATTACGAAGAGAAGGATCCAAACGCCTTGTGGCTCAAAGCTTTTAGAATCACACCATATGTATACAGTTTGCAGAGAATCGCAACAACGTACCTTATGTCGTGGAGTTATCGAAGGCCTACCAAATTTACGTTTGCACGGCCATGCCCAGTACTTTTCAAGTATTACTCTCAGCTATACCCTAGCCAGCTGACTCGAAATACAGTAGCACTGTCATGTTGAATCAGTTAGATCCTGGTGCGAATACCGCGCACGTGACACCCCTTGCCATGCCGTATTCGCCGCCGCAACGTGAGTCTCACCACCAGCCCCAAGCTCACAGAGAATGTCACAGGACTTATGAGAATGTAGCGAAGTGGAAACGCGCTATGAATAGCCTAAGGGGCTAGGCGGCTCTGCTCATCTGTTCGGTTTCTAAGGCACTAATGAACACATGAGTGCCACATCCCCGCAAGGCAGTTTCCTTGTGTTATAATGCCCTGGTTTTTTATAGGGGTTCGGCAAGTGCTCGTAAAATATGGCAATGCGAAGTGAAAGCGGTCAATCAGGACTTTCCGTATACAATCCAGATATTGCTATGACGACGTCGGCGTCCAACAAGACGCCGTGGGAAGGGTACAAGGGCTCACGGGGAAGTACACAGCCTACCGAACCTCGCTAGACTAGGATTTATTTAGTCATGGGGTATACTTTAGAAGAGGGGGACGTCATACATTGCGCGTCCCCGTCGGGGGGGGGGGGGAACTCGTATTGGGTTTCCGTGGGAGGAAGTCGTATTCGCTCCTAGGAAAGATGTTTCCGGTTGTTGATTTTTTTCGTTTACTCTCGTTCCATGTGCTCGTGTGCGTCAACGTACGCTATTTAGTCCCGCCCGGTCTTCGACAGCAATTTTTTGAGAAAAACAAGGAAATTTTTGGAAAAATGGTGGCAAACTGAAGAAATTCAGGAATATTGTAGGTAGGATGGGAAAGGGGATACTAGAATAGGAACTCCAAGGGTAGGACGTGCCCTGCTCATCAAGTCGACAGAATTTGATACAGAATATACAGAAGGTGACTAAAAAGCAAACACGGAAGGCGTGGTTTCGTATGAGGGGCAGGGAAATAAATAAAATGCAAACTGATAACTATTTAAAATAGGATGAAATTACTAGTGGAATGCAGATATAGAAAAGGTCGCCCGTTAGTTTCCACTATTGGTGGAGAACGAGCTAGCGCCGCACCAGGGCCAGCCCCCTGAAATCCTCGGCATTCATAGCAAAAAAGACTGCACTTCGGCTCGGGGAAGGGGCACAAGGGTTGGGTGATATGGTGCTGTCAGTACTACTATCTAACCAATCACCGAAATCTTTCAACTCCCTACCAATTTTCAAATTTTTTTTCAGCCAGCGGGGATCCACTACTCTCAATTGTAAGGAATACAAGGCATAGTACTAGTTTTGCGTCAGTCACACGGTACATTATTGGTTGAGGATTTTCACGAAAAAAAACCACCGAAAAGTCAACCACCACTCCTAGAAGGCCAAAAAGTAAATACGACCCCCCCCCCCTTTTACAACGTCCGTGAAGCGAGAAAAATCAACTATCAAAATAAATTTTTCTCAGCCCAAATACGACCCCCCCCCTGTTGGGGATTCCCCAACAACGATGTGCCCTGATCAGTCAACTAGAGATATACTCTCCTCATCATTACGGACTGTCGGGGCGGGTCAGTGCGGCTGCGTTTTCCGCGGTGCCAAAGTCTTTCTGCACCAGTTGTTGAAGCGAGCAAATGACATGACAGCATTATATCCTTCGTATTACTCGTTTTCTACCACTTTTTGTCGCATACGCGTTTCAACGAAAAGGCTGAGAACGGCTTCAAACAGTGTGCGCACTCCTACTGGCTGATACGCCCCGACAGTCCGCAATGAAAAGGAGTATACGTGAACAAGATGAAACAGTAATTCGAATGGATGGCAAATTTTTTTATATAGAGCGCATGAAACGGGGAATTTCAACAATCGGAAATTTTTTCTTAAAACCACATGTGACTCGCTCCTACCCAATGACCAAGTATGACCCGTGACGAGTATGTCCCAACTACGCTGTATACCGAGCATAGAGGTGTATTCGATCGCCAGAGGGAAATATTTGATTTGGGAACATTTTTTCGATTTTTCGCAGTTTTTCCAGTCCCCCTCCCAGCTAGTGGCGCAGTCAAAGTCCTAAACAACTATTTTCGGCAGTTCATTTTAATAGCCGTTTGATGCACTGTCTCCCCACTCTGACAGCCGTTTTTCTGGGGGGGGGGGGGGGCGGGTCAGTGGGAAAAATTTTGGAAAACTGGGAAGGTGGTAGGAAGTTGGGAATAGGTAGGAATGGTGGATAGCATGGGGAAGGGGGGGGGGGTTGTACTAGAGAAAGCAACTTGCGCTGACCCAAGACGCGCCGCCACTTGGCAGTCTTGCTACGATAGGAACAGAAGCGCGCTTGCACCACTTTACCACTTCGCTCACCATCATATCCATGATTGAACTCAGTTGCTTTAGTTACTTTATTTTACATTTTTCTAACATGACTGACCATGAGCCTCTCCAATTTTCGGTCCTAACGAGGCCTGTTTCGAAACCGACCCCGACGGAACGAATGACGGCAAACGCGCTCCACTGCTAATCGCAAAATCGCAAACTATGGGAGCTTATTTAGAACAGACGATTAGCAACACTAAGCTACATTTCTCAAAAATTCAGAAAAAGTACTTGGTAAGAAACTGTCGGCAATTTTACAATCTTATCTGTCGAAATACTAAAGGGCGTAGTTCAATGATCTAAGCTCAAAATCCGCACCATTCTAAGCTTTTGGAAGACCAAACAGGCCCTAAGATCCCTCTACGATCATCAAGATTGAATTTGTTAAAAAAAAACGCTGTTCTTAGGATTTGATTCGTCAACCTAGGAGCTCTTTCTCTGCTCCTAGGCAGTTGCGTAATCTTCGAGGACCAGTTCCGTCGTACCTCTCTGTAAATGCTCCACCTTGCTAGGAGAGCTAAAAAGCGTAAAATTGCCTAATCACGCAATTGCACGCAGGGTACAGCATAGTTGTGGGAAACACATAGGGTCGTATTTGTCTGACATTGATGGGAGAGGGGGGGGGGCGTCGTATGTGGCTTTGACAGAAATTTGCCGCGTTGGGAAAAAATTTCTCCCGGTTGTTGATGATTTTTTCTGTTTCTTGTGTACTAGTTACTCTCTCCCCCCTCCCCGCTCGACCAAGTTTTCGGGAAACTCCGGAAAGTTGGTAGGAAATTGGAGGAAATCTAACTAATTTTCCCGTTTCATAATGGCTATATACCGCCTCCCCCGCTCGACGGAACATCTGTGGGTGAAAAGCTGGAAAATGTGGGAAATTGGTAGGTAGGTGCTGGGGAAGGGGGGGGGGTCGTACTGGCACCACCATTTCACACATCACGATGCTGTACCCAGATTGCACTTCACCCGGCCTAGCATGGCTACCAGGCGTGACCCTCGACTGGTGCAATGTTTAGGTTATGTACCAATCTCCATATGCCACATGCAGCAGTATACAATTACTCTGCCCCCTCATACCATCCCCTGTTCGTTGGGCTGTCCTGCGCAGTCGCGACACGAGCAGGTGCGCCCCCACGCGCCCATCCCATTCAAACGGCGCGCACAGTATGCGCCAGCACCCGGAATGCGCCAAACGGTAGTGACAAGTGTCAACAGTGAGTTTATAGTGTGGCACGAGCTCGTGCCACTTTGCCAGGGCTTTCAGGAAATACCAAAGACAGGAACTGGCAAGAAGACGACCATTAAATCTTAGAAATGAGCACGAGAAGTGAAAATTTCAAGAGGGACGAAAACACGAGCGCTATCGGTTAGCGCGAGAAATTTATGAGTTGCCATTGAGAGAAATGATCACGCTATGTGGAAATGGACAAGAATCGATGATGGCTATGGGGGTCTAGTGAAAAATAGGCCTTGAATCGATTTATTGACTAGTTACGGCGGCTGGGTCAACGTTGGCGCGCGTTTGGTACATCTCACTGACGTCTCCACGGTTCGTGTACTCTCTCATGTGCGGCGCTTTTATTCAGACCTACCTCGCCGGGCGTCGGGCGTTTTCCCAGTGGTTCAGATTCGAAACACCCATCTGGGAACGTCCCACCCGGAAAAGGGAGGGTCGGAGCAGAACCAATCCGAATGAATAGCCAGAATTTATCCACTTTTTCCTGTGTATATTGATTGAAGTATTGATTCAACACGATCAGTTGTGTGTGTGTGGTGGCCACGAATCCTTCGTGCACTCGATCTCATTTTTTTCATTCATTGCCGTACAAAAAACCCGTCTATGATGACCCGCAGTGATTTACTACTAATGGGCCGATATTTGCGTGATCACAATGGACGTCTTTCTTTTCGTAAACGTTCTTATCCAATATTTTAAGGTTCTCGTATTAAGGTTAGTTCTCAAAAATGAGCGCAAAACGAAAGCGCTTAGAGGACACGGCGGAGAACTCACCTCCAGAAGGTACACCTACGCCAAAGCGACGGAAAGGCCGAATTTCTGCAAAAGAACGTGAACGTATCGCTCAAGAGGTGAATACTATTTAAAAACGTTCCATTTTTGTTGCTTTTATCGTTTTATTTGTGCGCGTTGTATTTTTAAGCTCTCTTGGTTGTTTCCTGTTTGAAGAAAACCTGCTATATTTATCCTCAACTCATTCTTTTTATTTTCACTTTTTCTCTTCTCTTTCCCGAGCGCGGCATTATGAATATCATTTTCTGCATATTTAGGCCCGTGCCAGGCCGCAAGGCTTTGTTAGGCCTGCGTTTCGGCGTCTTCGTCTTATTCTCAGCATTGGAGAGATAAAAAGTTATTTATTGTTCTCCCTATTTATCACAGGGGTTACTTTTTTTTTTTTTTTTTTTTTTTTTTTTTTTTTTTTTTTTTTTTTTTTTTTTTTTTTTTTTTTTTTTTTTTTTTTTTTTTTTTTTTTTTTTTTTTTTTTTTTTTTTTTTTTTTTTTTTTTTTTTTTTTTTTAATCGTATCTTTTGTTCATGGTTGTCTAGAGCTTTTTTTTCGATGGGTTCTTATTCTTTTTTTTCGGATTCCGTTGTTGGTCTTGTTGTTGTCGTTTCGTCGAGGTGGGGTGGTGGTCAAATTCGACATTGCGGTCTTTACTGGGTGCTTACATATAGAGGAGACGTTGATACTTATTCTTATTCAGTTTTTTGGGTGTGGCTTTGGTCCTATTGTCTTTTAATAAAGATTTGTGGATATTAATAAGGGGTATTTAACAGTAGTTCGATGTTGCCTTAGTTTTGTGATACTAATGTATATTTTTTAATAAATTCCTTCTTTTGTTGGTCCATCTTTTGTGATTTTGTGCTAGGTGTGGTATTGAGTTTTTTATATTGTCTTTTTAATCTTGTCTAGTCTTATTTTTTTCTTTTTTTATCTAGCTTTTTATTCTAGCTTTATTTTTTTCTTCTAAACTGTTTAGTGCATTTACTCGTCCTCAATCCATTTAGGAGTTTCTTTCGAGCTTGGCTTGATGAATATCGTTTTGGTGCATATTTAGGCCTATGCGAAGGGCTTTGTTAGGCCTGTGTTTTTCGCCTCACAGTGCCGGGTGGGCGGGGGGGGGGGGGAGGAGGAGGGGTGAATCAGGTTATTGATTTTATCTTGCCTTTCACAGTATTTTGGCAAGTGAGCATTTTCTCTTATCTGATCGTATTCTCAATAATAAAAACTTATTTCGTCTCCATCTTTGGTTTTTTTCTCCAAGCATTCTATCGTCAAATTCCATGTGACAAATCTTCCTGGGCTTGAGTACTTTTGGATAAAATGCTGTGAATTTCGGATTCTCTGTCCTAGAAATTGCACCTGTCGTAATTCTGCGACAATTATCTACTTTTTACTTTTTCTTTACTAGCCTTAGGAGCACCGAGGGAGGACTATGCCTTTGCTCGGCTTTCGTTTTACGAGCACGCGAACACCAAAAGCTGAAATACCTCATTGTTTTCGTCCCTTGAGTATTTGGCGTTCATTCATTTTTTCACAACATAATTAATGGGGCATAACTTTGCTCTGTTGTCCTTGAAGCTTTGCGAGCGTCGTAATTAAGCAGAACCCCCCCCCGTTTCTAGCAAGTGCGCTATTGAAAGTTCTAGTGCAATCTGTTTTGAATTTGGAAAAAGATTACCTTGCTCTGTGGGGTATGAGTCGCATTTGTGTATAAGCCACGCTTTTGCTCTGAGGGCTGAAAGTACTTTTCGAGGTTTCCGTTTCAGTTTCGAGTTTTCCCCCTCATTTCTTTTTCTTGGTTTGTATGCACTTTCAAGTTTAAGAAATGCTAGTTTAGCTTAAGTTTCTTTTAAACGCGGCTAAATCTCCATGCATGCTGCCAAATAAACGCTAATAGCCTACAGAAAGGAGTAACTAAGTTCGAGATTTAGTAAGTCTTTGATCCGTCCCGTTCGTCGTTTTCTTGAAAAATAGCAAAAGTCGGTGGCACAGTTCGGCGAGGGGTTGGAGCATTTTGCTTTTTTGCTAGTTCCCATCGACATGTCAACCCATCAAGCGGAGACCTATGGAATGTTTGAACTCACGAAATCACCGGCCAAAGTTTATAGGGACCACTTGTCGTCTCTTGTAAAAAGTACCTGGCAGCTCTTGTAAAGTAATGTATGAAATCCCATAAAAATGCCATTTGCTGTGGTGGCTCGACGAGCTTGTTCTTGCTTCACAAGAGTTCACAGGTTTCACCAGAGTGAGACTTGTAAACCGGAACTAGTGAAGCAGCGAAAGTGCGAAATGCCCCCCTTGTCGCGTAACTTCGCCGAAATGGTGTTTCAAACGATGTTGTTGTGTTTTCCGTGATTTATTCTGATTTCTTTGAAGAATCGTAAAGCCCAAGGAGTTTACAACGTGCTCAGACAACATACTGATAGCGAAAATAGGCAACTCGCCGACAAATTCATCCGGACACCTTCTCGCAGGTGGGTAGTGCTCTTTTTCTGCATGAATCAGTTCTTATTTCAATCGCAAATCGTGAATTTGCAGAACAGAGCCTGATTATTACAAGCAAGTGAAATCTCCGATAGATTTCACAAGAATTCAACAAAAACTCAAGACCGAAGAGTATCAATCATTCGAGGAATTTTGTGAAGATGTCGAACTCCTTGTTGACAATACGAGGACATATTACAAAGTATGTTTAAGTGTTTGTTTTTTGCATGGTTTTGGCTTATTTGTCGGTGATTTCGGCCGCTGAGAGCCTTGGAGGGGGCATTTGAAGAACTCATTCTGAAACCTGGGGTGGTCGAATAGATAACTCTTCAGTTTCAGCTTCTGTCTTGAAATTCGTTCTCGCGAATACAAACAGTCCAGAATAGTGAGTACTATTGTGAAATACGCAGCCACTCAGTAAGCAGAAATAAGCCGGAATGGTCGTGACCCGACACGCCCATATTCCATGCGCCTCACGGAGGCGCCTGACCTTACGAAATACCTACCACCCGACTCGTTAGCATACGCAAAACAACGACTGTACTTGGGACTGGTCCATCCACCCAGGACCACCCAAGGTCTTCAAGCTTGAGCACAGTCCTCTTCTTCCTACAGTTAATTCTATGTTTCTGCTTATCCGCCACCTAATTTTCTGTGTTGCTCTTCTACGTTAAGCTATTTCATCAAGGCTTGCATGAGTATCTCTCTATTTTGGATATTTAGGAGGAGACGGAGGAGCACAAAGCAGCTGTAGAGCTCTTAGAAATTTACAAGGATGCTAGAGAAAAGATCAGGAAAGGAGAACCTCTGGAAAAAGAAGTCAATGATGGAGATCCTTCGAGTTCTGGATGTCCAAGTCCCCTCAGTTTAGTGAGGTATGTTTGCTTCCGGATCATTGTTTTACCTTTTTTATTCAATTCGTTGTGCCATATCTTCTACGGGTGGGTATTTAAGGTCAATCTCTCCTGCACCGAGTTCCCGAGCATCATCGAATGGTTCCTCGGATGAGGTAGAAACCGAAATGGTGGAGGATATTTTGTGTGCGTTGTTGGAATTGACAGATTCCACAGGTCGCCTGATTTCACCGCCTTTTCGAGTTCTGCAAAGCAAGGAGGTGGGAATGTCTGCTCATTTCTGTGGTTTTGTAACATAAGTGAATTGTTCGTTCCGTGATTCTATTGTGGACTACTTCTAGGAGTTTCCTGTCTATTATGAGAAAATTCGCCATCCAATGGATTTAAAAACGATTGCTGAGAAGGCTAGAGCTGGTATATACAAACGAATGTCTCAAGTTGAGGCGGATGTTCGGTTACTTTGTCGGAATGCACAGGTAAGCAAACTAGCTCCTAACAGGCGCAGTTCGGTTTGGGAGGGAGAGGGGGATTTTGCACTTTCGTTACTTCCCATCGACGGGTAGAGCCGTCAATTAAGATTGTGAAGTCCTGTGATGCCACGTGCTATATCAGTAAAGGCTTGTAAAGACTACTTGTCAACTCTTTTGCAGCAATGAACACAACGATGGAAGTAGCAAAATCGCGAATTGTCCCCTCCCCTCCCAAGCCGAACTGCGCCCTATAGACATAACTTGTTTTCTTCTTTGATCAGCTTCCTCTATATATGCTCACTTTTGCAGGTATTCAGTGGGAAAGGCAGTGAAATCTATAAAGATGCCGTTGCAATGATGACTTTCTTCAAGGATAAGCGCGATCAGGTCCTGGAAAAGGGTGTTCATCCTAAGCGGTTAGTCCCTATGAAAATATCAAATTCAATATCCAGCTTGAAAGGATTCATTAGTGTTACTAACTAGTGATTTCAGCCGAGAAAAAGTCCATCGCGCAGTTGACGGGCTTCTTATACAAGCAGCACTCCCAGCAACGTCTGAACTCTCTGAAGATTCTGAAGAGGATGAAGATACTGAAGAAAGTGAAGTGAGTAGTTTTGGACAAATATTACGCTCCTTTCGGCTAGGAGGGGACATTTGGCACTTTGCTGCTTCCCGTTGCCACTTCGTGGCTTCACAGCTTCACGAATCTACTACTTGTGGTTCAAACGACAATGAGGAAGTAGCTGAAAGTACCAAAGGTGCCTCCCGAATTGCCCAACTACGCCCAAGATTCGCAAGTTCGTTACGCTTTGTTGCTTTGCGACTGTTCACTCTTTAGCACCCACTTTTTGATCTGGTTTGGTCGGAGTTCTTCCCCGGCGGTAGTTTGGTGCAGCTTGCTTAGCGAGTGATTTCGACTCTCAGAACGAATGTCTAGATATTTAACTTTCGAGCGGAAACGTTCTGGTGGCCTGTCGCAGTGGACAGTCACTGCTCGATGCCGGTTTTCGGCGTTGGTCGAGTGTTCAAGTGTTTTACGCAAAGCCAATGCGATATTCGTGTTCAGGGGCAAAACTAGTTCAGGGATCGATCATGTGACCAAATCTACCTCAGTTCCGTTTTTTTTGATTTTCCGGGAGAATTCTGGTACGGAGATTTGGCCTTGCATTTGTTGTAGGGATAGCGAACTGCACAGCCTTCTTTACGCAATATTGGGCGTGGTTCGTACGGCTACGTTTGGCGCGCTGCCAGCTTTGCTGAGGGTGGTAAGTGACAGCAACTGGTGGAAGAACGACCCATACGAACAGTGTTTTACAGTCCTGTGACTGTCGAAGAAAGGTTTAAAACGGGTTAGCGCCGCGCCAAACGCTGCCGCGCTGACACGCCCCATCATCCCCAGCGGACGTGACTATAACTACCGCCATTGATTCTATTGTCAGAAAATGCGTTCTGTAATTAAGGATCCTCTGTGGAAGCTTTATTGGACTGTTCGTAACGCCCCGAATGAAAAGGATCGCGAAACGAACCTCTCTGATCCATTCCTCGAACTGCCTAGTCGAAGGTATTTTTTTTACCTACTTTCGTTGGTTATATAGCCTCCTGCGGTTGTCCGATGAATTTAACTAGTATGATTTGTTACTTTCAGTTATTATCCTGACTATTTCGATGAAATATCTCGTGTGGTGTCCAATGTCTTTTGTTTATGATAAATAAAAAGCTTGCAAGGAGAAATGATTACAAAACGTTTGAGGAACTATTCAAGGATTTCATGCAGGTTCGATTAGAGTGTACAAAAGTTGTCACGAATTAGGTGATTCGAAAAAAAATGCTGGATAATATTTCTAGGTATTCGAGAATGCTTGTGAATATAACATGGAATCGTCTGACATTTACATAGCTGCACAAAAATTACAAAATCTCACGATTCGAAAGGCTCGTGAACTTCAGCCGAGCCTTGATCTCTCGGCAAGTGTTGCCCTCTCTTGTTTCTTTTCGTCTTAACGTGACATTGATGCTTTTGCGAGTGTGGAGAGCAGGGCACGTTGTGCGTTTGGGATTTCCAACGAAGGGGTTGTATCTGCCTTTGGGAATAAATGTCTCCGGCTGTTCAGATTTCTAGTTTTTCCTGTTTCAAGTGCGCTATATACCTCGACCGCAACCCCTTCCCTTCCTATCTACGGCGCAGGGCACAGCGTTGTGACAGGAATCCCAACACGGGGGGGGTCCTATTTTGGGCTGGAGGAAAGAATTATTTTGATAGCCATTTTTCTCGCTTCACGGACGTTGTAAAAAAGGGGGGGCGCGCGCGTCGTATTTACTTTTTGGCCTCTTGAGAGTGCTGGTAGACTGCTCGTAATTTTCCTGTTTCATGTGTACTATATTTCCCCCCTACAGCAAAATAGAAGGGGGGGGGGGACGTATTGTCTCGTAGTTCCTGTTTCACAGGTGCTATCTACCCCCTCCCCCCCCTTCCCCGCTGTATTTCGATGAGGAGGGACATGAGGGGGCCGGAGGAGCAGAGGGCGGTCATATCGAAAAACAAGCGGGATCGTACGGACATGACTAAAACCCCCAACCAATGATGTGATGTGCCCTGCTACGGCGGTTTTTTGGGTTTTTGGGCAAAAACTGGGGTATTAAATAACTGCTGCGGAAAAGTGGAGAATGTTGGAGAAAATTAGGATGAGTAAGCAAAGGGGGTCTTACCGGAGAAAAAATAATTCCTGAGCGGAGAGGAAGGCTCATGTTTTTGTGAAATTTTCCCCAACGGCAGGACGTGCCCGAGTAGGGAGACCGCTATTTTGAAGATTTGGCGATTAGAAAGGAAATGGGCTGTAGTTGACCACGTACGAGCCGCGGTAAAAGAGCGTTACAAGCAGATCATTCGTGCCAGGACCCAACATTCGAAGGGGCAGTGTTGTAGTGTGAAGAAGTTCACATAAAAGGTTGCTAGTTTGTGCACAGTGCCGCGCTTCGATTTAATGGACGACAACCTGAGGAGCTACTGTGTAATTCGCGACTCGCGACAATTGGCGATTAGAACATTACGTTCGTTGTTCATACTTATGCTGTTTGGGGCTTTTCGTTTACGGTTTGTGTTTAGGGGGAACAGGAACTAATAGAATATCGCATTCTTGCGTTACAGCTAGCATTTTGAAGGTTCTCCAGCTTTCGTGAGTGCGTGGCTAGCAAAAAGCAGATATCGATCTGGTCATTCGAGCGCACAGTTTCTCAGCGACTGCCCGCGAAACTCGAAGCTAGCCGCGAAAACGCTCGAAACGTTGCCGTGCGCTCAAGAGCTGACGCAAAGTATGAACACATCTTTACAAGGGAGTAGATTGATGCCGGTTTGTCCGAATCGTGTTCTCTACCTTCGCAAGGTATGAACGCTATCTGATTATCAGTACCCCTTTTTCCAAAAACTGATTATGACTACTTATTTCAGCCATATGATAAGAAATCTAAAGCTGCAAAAACTCCAAAGACCCCAAAGGTTATGAAAGCAGAAGTGGACACTGACTCGGACGATAAGGTACTTCAGAATTCTTGTTTCCATTTAGGGTTAAATTAAATGTTTCTTCACAGAATACTCCCCCACCGGAGAAGAAAAAGTATCGCTCGCCAAAGAAAATGCGGCCGATATCAACAGGAATGACCGCTGAGCATATATCCTTACCCGGTCGACCTGGGCGCAAAAGTATGGACGAGCTTATGCTGCGGTATCGGCAGAAGTTGATGACGTTCTGGGATCTCATTTACAATCACAAGGTAATCTGAAGAGCGTCTTTTACTTTTTATTGAATTGTTTTTTTTAGTGACTTATAGTGCTGCTCGCTGCGAATCTTGGGGCGTGTCGGGGAGGACGGCCTGAAGCCACCACGCTTTCCGCCAACTGTTGTCGCTTTAACCTATTCAGCAATTGGTAGGAAACGTGCTGGCATCGCGCCAAACCCGGCCACCTTGACACGTCCCAGCATCCACAGCGAAAGGACTGTATTTCACTTTCATCCTTCTTCGGTCTTATGAATTTAACTATTCTAGGTTGGAATCTACTGGCCCGCTGGCGCCTTCATGGAACTGCCGTCTTCTCGAGAATATCCTGATTATTATCAAGTTATTGAACACCCTATTGATATGAAAATTATCAGGGATAAAATTGAAAATAACAGGGTTAGTTCTACCCGATTTCTGCCAATTTTTTTGTAATCAGTTTTTTTTCATAGGTCATTTTCCAGTATGAATCCTCGGATCAACTAATGGAAGAGTTCACGGTTTTGTTCAACAACGCTCGACAATATAATGAGGCTAACTCGCAAATTGCACGCGACGCTGCGGTTTTGTTGACTATGGTCACTACAGCACATGCATCCGACAAGGACGCTCCCTATGAGAGTCCTCTCGCTTTGAAACAAAAGTTCGGGTGAGTCTCGATGGTTCCTTAGGACATGGAAATTTCTCCTTTCGACTTAGCAGTCTTTTTTACATTTTAAACATATTTTGGGCGCAGTTCGGCTTGGAGGGGGCAGCAAATGGAACGTCAAAGCCTGTACAGGCTACCTTGTGGAGTCCCGTAAATCCTTGTAACCAAAGTGGCTTCCATAAACTGGTTCGCGGTTTCACAAGAGTTCATCCGATAGTTCACATAAAATAGCAAAACGAATGAGCGAAAGCGCAAAATGTCCTTCTCAAGCCGAACAGTGC